TGCTGCCTCGTAAACATCCGTTTTTAAGCTCCAAATGCCATGGTCGAGAGGAAGTAGTTGGGAGAGCTTTAGCTAGCCCATCAAACGAATTCAAGAGTTTATTGATCAACAATCTTATCCGCGTATGTGCGTAGGTCAGAACCTTGACCTGGATCGTGGCGCACTCCCGATATCTAACGGCGCACAACAAGGGGTGGTAACGGTTTTCGAGAGGGTGGGGCTTTGCCCAGGGGTGGGGTACCGCTCGTCTGAGCTTGTTCATCTTTGCCCATTGATGACGGTTGCTAGGACGGGTTCTGACCAGCTCAAAGAAGCTATCTGTTTCCCTTTCTGTGTTGGGTGAGATCAGACTCTAGAGTGTGGGCTTGTAAAGCTGAGAAGTCCTAGTAAAACCAGACGAATCTACCAGCGCACAGCACTACGCCACACAGGCTTGGTCAGGAGAGAGCTTTCCATTGGTCTTTCTATGCCACCGAGGACATAGCTTGGCCTTTGACTAAAGCTGCAGAGAGATTCTTCAAGTGGCCTAGTGAACCACCACGAGAAAGCCATGCTACAACGTGCTTTTGCGACGGACCGGGCAAGTGTGGCTGCGTGGCGATAGGTTCAAGAATGGATTGGGGTAAGACCCCGCCCATCACTTTGGTGAGCATTGGGCAACGCTGATCTAGATTGCTACCAGGCACCCTCGAGGTCCTGTAGAAGGGTTGGTATTAGATTGAATTGACTAGGAAGAGGGTGCCAAATTTCCTCGACCCATTCATCATGACCAAACTTGGGCATCATTGTTGACCCTGATCCTGGAAAGGCTGACTAGGCAAGCAGGTCTGGTGGCCTCCATGGGTTACTGTCGGTAAGTAACGTCTGTAGACTGGCACCTGGCCCATTGCCATGAGTATGTATGGGGAAGGACTGGATCTGCAACAGCTTGAGACGGTTGAATAATGACGAAATATGATGCTGGGCTTCTATTGGAAATCGTCAGCACCGGCTAGCCGTTGTTTGTATAATGGTCATCGACTCGTGATAGGATCGGACAATTCATGATCAGAGACTTTATGATCAGAGACTAGCGCCTGACATTGCCTCACCTTGGCCAATTTCCTTCGATGCGTAATCGTTCAGCAGTTGGGAAAATATCTATATTCCTGCAACTTCGGTAAAGTGGGTTGACAGGATGGAGATTTGCAAAGATGAAACGCGGAACTGCGACATGAAAGGGGACATCTTATGGTGAGTGTAAGCAAGCCCACACACAAAGTAATACCTACAGCTTGTTCAAACTGAGCGCCACACGAGGTCGGAAGGAGCGGCTGAGGGAACTTGGTCACGAGCTAAGTGTAAAGCAATTAGGCCTAGACCCAAGGGAAAGGGCAACCGCCAGGGTGGACTCGGGGCTCAACTGCCAGCTTCTCTTTCCCTTACCTTTCTTTCATTACCTTCCCTGCCAAGACTCTGCAATTATGTACGTACCTACCTGCCGAAGTTGGTTCATCACAGCAGAAGATGATATGAGGTCTTTGCAGAAGCGAGATGCGGGCAGCAACCAAAGACAGCAGAAGCCCAGCCACGTTAAGACTCATGGCATCTACTGCTTACCTCACCTTAGGTAAGTTACTAGGTTGGTAGAGAGAAACCTAGTTCATTCAAACCAAAGAGAACGCCATTCCCTAGAAGACTTCAATGACTTTCGCAATTCTTCTACTCTTCTATCCATGGAACACCCCCCGTCACACCCGAAACAATAGACCACAAGCCACAGGCATTTGAGCCCAGTACTTGACTAGAGAGCGGCTTAAACCCGGCTACGACGGGAACCGCGCTTCGCGCAACAGCTTTTCTCAAGATTTCTAGCCTAGGTATTTTCGAAATTCGATCCATGCTTTCATCCACTTCCTATGCTTCGATTAGAGTCGCATCCTTGTGACACACGAACGGCTTGAGTCTGAAGCTTCATTTCAAACAGAGCCCAAGACTTCAATTGCACCATGTCATTCGAAACTCAATGTTTACAACCAATATAGAAGCTGCACTCCGACCCGAGTGACTCAACATGACCCGTTTCGAATTTCTGCTACGGCCAAGCCCCAACATCACCCTGGATCCTTAACAGTAAACCTTGAAGACAAGAATGAAGCAAAAATCACAAGCCATCAACAAACACAAGGAATACGAAGATTGCGGAAAACCTGGTAGCCAAAGTACGTATTTGTTCAAGCTCTGCACTATCATCAATCTAACTGCATTGAATTAAGCTGGTGCGCTAAGAACCAACATCCAAATTATTGTTTACTTGCCACAAGTGTCTGGCGTAGGTACATTTCATGACCCTATTAAGCCACTCGTGGGGCTTCCACCTGTCCACCCTTACGAATAACAACACGATTGATAGCTTTCTAATTACCGCCCAACTACCGGATTTGAGGCAGCATGTCTTGCCAGCCCTCCCATGAATCATATCAAGGCTGAGAGGCTTGTTTGGACAGGAGGTTTAGAGGCTGTAGCAGCTCGGACACTTTGCCTCGGCGCTCATGTCATTAGCTCGTAGCTGTAGCTTGGGGTAAGGTACAGAGTACAGTCGGTACAAAGAAAGCTTATTAACGAGAGTCCTTGGGTAAGAATGTCTGCAGCTTATCCATCTTGTGCCTCGTTGATCTTAAGTATAGCTTTCGAGAACATGTAAGCAAAGAAAAGAAAAGGAAGGAATAGAGAAGAGAAGAGAGAAAGAAATCCCCCAATTGGGATTGGGCTAATAACTTACATCTAATCACCATATACTGATGTTGTATCTGGATATGTGTTGATGAAGTGGTTCTTCTATTGCTCCTCGAACCTCAATCTGCACACCTCTCTTACTACGTCGTGCACGCCCCTCCCTGGTTCCCGATGCCACTCCACTTCTTATGATCTATTCATCCCAAAACATGTACCCTTTTTGGTCCCTCCATCCTGTCTTTTTGTTGGCTGCTCGAATCCTCAGAAGCATGCACGTTCAGTTCGATGGGACCGTCTGGGTTCTCTACCCTCCCAGCCCTGGACCCCCTCAGCCACTTCTTTGGTCTGCGCCTGCCACGGCCCCTACAATACCGACCCCTGCTCTTTGGGTTGACTACCTTTTTAGTGTTTTGTCTTGTCCCTACCATGTGTCCCGAAATCTGTCAAATCTCTTCTGATACACGCTTCTATCCTAAACTTTTCAAGGTTGCCATGTTGGTACTTACCTTAGTGAGATGATTCAGAGCATATCCGTTCTTTCTACTGGTACGATATTCGTCCCAGCCCTTGCCTTAAATGTCTAATGCCGGACTGTTCTGGCCAGATATGGAGGTTTGAACCCGTGCTTTGATGCATGTCATGGTCTTCGAGCTCTTGGCCGTGGCTTCTTGCCCTTTGATCCCTAATCATTTTATTAGTTTGAGCATACCCTGCCCGGTCAGGGCAAGTTCCCACAAGGAAGCGTTTCCACTCTGTCTTGAAGAGTCCTTGACTGTTAAATTACGACCCCGATGCGTCAAGACGCGGACTGGCAAAGAGCGACTCGGCCGCCGGCGCTTGATGATGTGCGTATAAGCAAGCGGGTGGGTGTGTGCGGGCGTGTGCGTGTACTTTCACTTCCCACCACTTACTTACTCTTCCTCTCCACCCATGCCGAAGCTCACTCGAGCTGCTTAGCCCTCTTTTTTCCTCTTTCCTTTCTCTCCTCCATCTTCTATCGAGGATCACTGACTATCTTCTCCTCTTTCTATTCTTTGGGCTTCCCTCCTATTCGTTCATTAAACAACCTTGGTCCCTGAAGCCGTTGGTCTCATGCCATAGCTCCCTGAAGTCTGCAAGCTACCCTCGTCCCATTTGCCTCAGAATTGTCAGTGGTAAGCTAGCTTGAACAGGACGGCCGACGACACAAAACAGGACAAAATATATCCTTGCTTGAGGATACTGTTCGGCATTCCTTTTTCATTAACTCAAGGACGGCTCTGCTTGGACACTCCAATCATTGACTTCAACAAGAACCTAGACTTACCCGTTCGGTTGTGAAAAACAAGAGCAATTTACAGGACAGTAGACCATGCTGGCTGGTACCTGCGTCTAAAGTTGTTATCCTTTGATGCACCACTACTCACTACTCCGTCGTTTACAACAACTTCGCTGAGCTTGAAGCTCCATTCTCTCTCGCAGTTTTTTTTTTTGCCTGATCGCGGAACTTTCCATATTTGGGCCTTCTGTCCTTCATCTCGCCCAATCCATTCACATCGATTCAACTTCTCTAGTCGTCTCTTGTCAGCCTTGGATCTTCTCCACTACTCACACAAACTTCCTGCTAACTCACACTCATTGACAGCTCTTTTCTGCGCGTGCCCCCCATGTGTGCTGTGTGAAAGAGCCATCCATGACTGGTTCCAAATGAACTTGGCCCTGCTTGTCAACTGGTTTCATCAGCCCCGCTCGCCTCGACCGCCACAACTCTGGAGCTGGCCAACATCTCCAGCTCGCCGCCCGTCACCTCTGGTCATCTTATACAAAGCTTGCATATCCACATCCCAAATTGTACGCCATTTCTTTTTGTTCCCCCTCTTCTTCCTTCTTTGATATTATATGCTTGATATTCCTGCCGCCTGTTTCTTCTCCCTTTTATAACCCCAGTCCCTAGTTGAGACCTGTATTAGAGGAATCACGAGACGGTTACAGCCCAAACAACAATACCTTTAACAACCCTTTCTTTTCGATGTTGTCGTTTTGCCCATTGCTTTGCCTGATCACTTGATCTGGTTAAGCCGTCCTGCCAGGACTAACTATATCTTCAAACGTGGAGTGTAGTTTTGTTGCATAACATCGTTGCCCACCTCCCGTGCCCAGCACTCTCTGTCAACTCTTTCTTATCTGTCAAAAAAGTCAATTGCAGCAAGCCCCAGCCTCCCAACAATACATGCGCCTTTCAAACTCACGCATTTCCTCTTGCCGTACAAATGTCCCCACTGGCGTAGCCCAGCTACCATACAACGATGCTTACCGTCAAGCAGCCACCAACTTACGGCTACAAGTCAGTCCATGATCTCCCGACTCCGCCTTCAACTTCTCGACCTTCTCCCCCCTTGATATATCGAGAATCAGCAAACAATTCACTGCCTGTCGCCTATCGGGGACACAGTCCACCGTCACAGCCCATGTCGGCTCCTCATCGTGGCCTGCCTCCGCCGGCGGCCATGACTCTTCCTCCCCAGCAGCCCCCAGCAGCTGGTGCTCCTCCATCTGCACATCTCCCACCCCATCCGCCTCCTCCGCCTCCGCCACAGCCATCCTTAGGCCCTCCTGGTCACCAGCAGAGAGATTCATGGGACCAACTACCTGCTCCACCTCAGCAATGGCAGGGAGCAGAGGAATCTATGAGACATTGGCTGCAGGCGAGGGCGGAAGAGGATAAGAGAAAGCAGGAGGAAGAGCGAACGAGACAGGAAAGTTTGCGTCTGGAGCAGCGCAAAGTTGAAATGGATATGCTGCGGACATCGCTTCAGGCAGGTATTCCTCCTCCTATGGTTCCTTTGGTATTTGCAGGCATGGGTGGAGGAGGAGTCGCACCACAAGCTGCCTTGGAATGGGCTCAGCAATTTATGCCTCCTGGTCAGGCTCCTCCTCGTGCCCAGATTATGCCCGCACAGTGGCCTGTGTCGCCTGAACACCAACGAGAATCCCAAACACAGTCGCATACCCACGCACAGCACCCGGGCATTCCATCCGCATCGACACCAGCAGCCGGATATGTGTATCCGCCATCACCATCAAGGCCTCGAGGCCAGACAGTGAGTGGTGCTATAGGACGGCCCATGGGCATGTCGACATTACCGAGCCTCAACACCAACGTACCACAGTCCGCACACGCTCCTCCTCCAATGCACTCGCATCAGCATCCGCATATGCAGCAAGAACCCCAGTCAAGCCCTTCGATATACTTTCATCACTGGCAGCCACCAACATCGCAAGCCAGTGGAAGCTCGAACCGGCCCGGAAGTCCTTCTGGTTCGTCCAAGACCAAGAGAAAGAGAGACTCTCTGTGAACTGACGTAGCTTCTGTGACCATAGGGGAAACTCCCAGAAAGCGCAAAGCAACAGGGCATAATGCTCCTTCCCCCACCCGCAGTGAGCAACGATATCGATCACCTCCGCCTCTTAGTCAAAGCAGCTCGTCAAACGTAGCGTTTCGTGGATCACGACGTGGTCATTCACGACAAAGAAGTGACATGTCACCCTTCAGAGTCACCGGGCCAGGACGCTCTCGCAGGGAGAGTTTTGGCGGACCTCTACGCCGAATGTCTCCGATACGCAGCTCAACGCCTATGCCCTCGCAAGAACGACCGGGTAGTGAGAAGAAGCAGTCAGTATCGGCTATGTTGTCAGAGGAGCCACCGCCCGGCACACGGTATTCAGGGCCACCTCGCCCGAGCGAAGAGCGAGAAAATCGCTACAGGCAGCCATCTCCTGGAGATTCAAAGCCACATAGGAGCATTGAGGAAACTTCAAAATCGCGAGATAATTCAGGGGAGGGACAAGGCGCTTGATGGTAGTGCACCCTAGACGCGGTTTTGTTGATCAGTTCTCACGCTTGTGCGCCACATGTAGCCATTTCACGTCTAAGCGCGGCTGTCATTTAATTTACGACATTCCACAAATCACACACGAAAACATGGAAGAGTAATTTGCCCGGCCGGAATGACGGACAATCCCTGGCTCATTGGTAGGCGTACTCGAATCAATACTCTGTACGGATACCACCTGTCGAAACAAATATGCATCAGACCAGTTCAGCGGCTTTTCCTCCTGGTTACTACTAAAAATTCGGGTTCAGACTCATCAAGCTAGTCCATTGACTTTACATCAGTCTTTTAGAAGTTGGCGCCGCAGCATTTGTTTTAAATATATGTTCTTGTTGAGCTGCACTGGAGGGGACAAGGGTTGGCTAAAGGTTAGGGGCACGGTTCAAAATGGAGTTTTTGACTTTGGTTTTCGGTTCAGTCTATCGGGGGGAGTCCACGGCATCAAGGAACAGCATTGGGTATAGCGGGCTCGGGCTCAAGATCGATGGGAGGAAGGACGGAGAGATATGGGGAATATTTCTTGTTCTACGGACAGTTATAGATATTCTATGGACTTAGATTGAGGAGGATGAAGTTTCGCAGCTTCAGGCAGTGCATAACTGACATTCTCGAGGAAGCCAATTTGAGCGTCATCGTACAGACTCGGAGCGAAATGAACAAAAACAATTGTCATGACCGAGGAATGGAGAACACTCTGACCCTTGCTTATTTTGGGCTTATTTTGATTGTTCAGCCACATTGTGGAAGCTTTGGAGGAGCCCCAGTCTACTGAAAGGCTCACAGGCCATTTCTCAAAGTAGTTCCAGGAACGCCCCAAAAACAGAGTTACGGTTACTGAACGCCATTGCACTAGCAACAGATAGCTTATTCTGAGGAGCTTCAAGCTGCTTTAGAAACCCAGAAATCGAAACTCGTATCCTCGTAAAACAGGGGTCGGGCCTGGCCTAGTCCTCAAAGGAATCTTGATGTCACTTGGGCTGCAACCCAAAGCCAGCCACGTCTTTGAACTTTAGAGAAGCTTTCAATCAAGAGAGAGGAGTCGAGAATACGAAAAAGCCACATTATACCAGACTTGCCCGAAGAGGAAAGGATTCTTGGAAGAACGAGGAGACCTCTGCAGGAACAAAGGTACTGGGTCCTTTGCATGTAAGCCACTATGTTACTATCCTTTTCAAAAGTTCACAGAAAATTATGCCATGCTTTTTTCAGCTCTCATCATGCATGTGTGGCTTGTGTAGGAGTGTCTTGGAGGGGTAAACTCGGCCGTCTGCGCGTCAATGGAAAGAAGTTTAGAAACAATTAGCAAAAAGGCATGAGTAACAGAGTAGCATTCTCCAGGGAAGCTATTATCTCGCGTCATTCCCTTATTTAGGTCATATTATAGCCCATCGGCTTACCGTCAGGTTGGTTACATCGGAGCTAGGATCAAACTCAATTCTGTTTTTTTATTTATTAAATAGTAACAGAAATAAGTACAGGGAAGGTAAGCTAAGGGTGTTGGTTGACTTACAGTAAGATATAGCTCATTGAATTAACCCCAGCAACTTTGGATATAAATGACTTATTAACTTAGCTGAACTATAGACTGTGATTCCACAATTGAGGTTAATCGCTTGTCCTTGCACCGGCGAGCCGCTCCCGACCTTACGGCGCCGGCTCCCCCGCACCGGAGCTCCGAGAGGGGTCGGACGTTCAGGCCCAAAGAGGCAATCAGCTCGGTCGAGATGGAGGGGGCACAGACTGGTCTGCCGAGAAGAGCAAAGGGGGTGGATGGATGGACAGAAGAGAATGACAGCTCCAAACATTGAGGCTGACTGTCGGGATCACAAAGATCCGAGTAACCAACTAAGAGAAACAAAGTTTGCTGGGTTGTGTTGGGACGGGCTACATACAACCGATTACTACTTAACAGTTGATGTTATACCTCAATGTTACCATCTTGTGTACGACCCGAGCCATGTCACCATATTCTGTCACATCCAACATGATCTGATCAAGCCACAGTTAGCTAAGGCTGAGACGGTTACATGGATCTGACCAAGTAAGCGAGGCAAAGTACTGGAAATATCTTCAATGATACTGCATAGTTATACATTAACTTCGAGGCTAGCATAGCACTCGCTCCTCGCTTTATCCTTCGGCTCTCCTCATTTTGTATCTTCTGCCCTCTCTTTATCCTCCTCATGTACATTAAAGTGCAATCACACGCCGTATTTTCCCAAGCTTCATCAAAGCAACCCTCGAAGCAAGACAGTAAAACAAAGTGATGCCAGGAGGGGTATATAGGATTAGGTTCCGTGGCTCCAAACGCTATCAACCACCAAAAGGGAAAAAAAACTCCATCCTTTTTCTGAATCCATGACGCTCTCATGAACCAACACAAAGAAAAGAATGGCCTCGTTTAGGCATGTGGTCACTCAGAGGCCGCAGAAGCCGCAGCATGAAGGGGGTATCAGCAACGCAACGCAAAACAGGAAAGCACCCTAAAGGGTATCGTGATACAGCTTCGCATGTACAAAGAGAAATCAGGCCAAAAGACAAAGGAGAATGTCCTCGTTGGACTGGAGTCATGGCAGCAAGACTTGCTATGTCTTCTTCTTGCCGTGGTGTTGTTTGTATTCCGCCTTGACCACCTTCATCAGAAGATCCTCATCCTTGACAGGGATAGATGATGTTAATGCCTTCATGGCGTTCTCGAATTCCGCATCCAAGAGGACCTCCCGAAGGGCTTGAGCCAATGCTGCACTAGTAGCGTGCAAAACATCGTATTCGCCTGTTTGAGGAGTGTTGCTCTCGGACTTTCGAATTTCAGCCATAGAAGTCGTGTCATTGCCCAATAGGAGGAAGACATCCCAGATTCGCAGCTGGGCTGGAAAGGGTACGGAAAGGTTAAATAGCGTCAGGTACCAGCGCGTACCATAAGCAGTGGTGTCAATGCACAATTCGTCCTAGAATTGTCAGTGTTTAACTTGGGGTATCGAGAGGCTTCAGACTCACCAGTTTACTGGCTACTTCCTTATTGAGCCAGTGCTTACTGAAGTCACCCATGGCTGCCATGAGTTCCTCAAACCCTGGACGATATAGACGAGCCAGTCCACGGAGATGCCACATTCGCACCAGCATCACGAAGCACTTCTCTTCGTCAAAGTAGCAGAGCAATGTTGCCGCTAACGAAGCCATACCCTGAACATAACCTGTCTCAGGATAGTATATTGATATCGCGTGGAGGACCCTGAACAGTAGTCGCTGGCCACCTCGATAACGTCGTCGAAACATAATATGGCGACTGATGGTCCTCGGCACGTCCAAATCGATCTGTACATCGTCTGGGGAGCTTCGTCGCTGGAGCCGATGAAATTCGGCTACGATCCTCTCCTCGGAGGGTGATCCCTCATGTTCCCTCGCGCTGGTGGCCATAAAAGACCACCAAGCTGCTCCCCTCCATCGGTCAGGTATTCCCTTCCATGTCCTTTCAATCAGCTTCGGGTTTCTCATTTCGAACTCAAACTCCATGCCCTCGCCCTCGCCGCCCTTACGAACAACTCTAGCCATTTTCCTCCATTTTTCTGACCTTTCCCACTCCTTGCGCTTCATAACTTCTGTCAACTTCTCGGCTTGAATCTCGTCCACGATGTCCTGAAGGCTGGGAGCTGCATCGAGCATGTCACCTGCTTCGTCCATCCAACGCCTGTCGCGATTGTGGGGCAGCAAGTTGCTGGCTTGCCGTATTACTGATCGAGATGAGCGAAGCGACGTTGATACTGATAATTCGGATGTTTGTGTGTTGAGCGACCTTGCAGAAACCTTCCTAGTTGGAGTCCGTCGGCCACTGCCACTGAGAGTGGACGTCAAACCATAAGGGTCTCGTTTCTGTAACAAGCTACGTTTTCTGGGAGAGCCAGAGGCTGATCGTGTCTCTGTCGGTGTGCCCATTCTTGAGCCAGGCGGCGGTGGTAATGTGATGAATCCATATCGGTCAACGTGGGCACCTTCAAGGTCATCCCAATCTTCGAGCCCTCCGCCTCTAGACCGCAGGGAAGAAGAACTTCCAGATGCGGGCATTTGCCAGGCCGGAGAAAGGTGATTTAGAACACTAAAAAAGAGACACAGGTTAGCATAAATCATAGTCCGCAATGATTATAACAGGGACATTCAAGGAAAACCATACGGGTCAAGTTCATTCTCCTCGGACGGGACCTCGGGAGTTGGTTCAAGACGCTCGCAGTACGAGTGCCTCTTGCCAGGCTCACCGTGGGAACCATCGCCAACAGTATAGAGCGATCTCACCTTTTGAGATTCCTTCTCCACGTCGGCGGCCAAGACACGAATGTCAGGGGTTGACATCAGGCCCTGAGGAGAACCGTCGCCTGCCCCCTTAACAGAATTATTCATGTCGTTGGACTCGTCGCTGGGTCGAGGAAGGGTCTGTGACTTTGGGGTCGTTGGCGTTGTAGGAGTAGGAGTGATGGAACGAGGAGCAGTAGTTGAGGGAGTGGGAGTTGGGGTGGCGCGGCCCGAGTCGCTATCGTCATTGTTTGCGGTCGCGAGCGTGTCGGTGTTTGTAGAGGTAGAGGTAGAGGTAGAGGAGGACGAATCAATTGGCATGGTGTGCTGTTTGATAGCGCCGTCAATGACGGCGGCGTCTTGAGCTCCCAGCATGATGCTACCGCGATTGGAAAAAGAAACAGTGTTCATGAAGGCATCATCGAGGAGACTTTCGCAAGGGATAGACACGTCGAGGGGAACAAAGGGGAGATCGTTATTAGATGAAATGCTTGTGGTACCAGGCAATGTAGCAGTGCTAGTGCTATTATTCGAGGTTGTGGAGGCAGAACGGGACCTGTTCCAAAAACGGGAAGAGCCCTGTTCCTTATCCGACGGAAGAGACTGCTCTAACTCAGACTCAGCCAAATCAATCGCCGTATCGGCATCAGTGGCTGGAGCGTTGACGGTAGCGTTGGCAGTAGCGCCAGGGGCTATGGTAATAGTGGATTGTGCACTGACGGTTGGGGTGCTAGACGTGCTGGAATTGGCGGTGCTAGCGGTGCCCCGCCACAAGGGTTGAATTGGGGTGTTGAACATTTGCGAAAATGTACTGAACCGAGAGGACCCTGATCTTGATAGGCCCTTGGAGATTGTGGGGGGAGACGAAGAACAAGAAGTACGAGGTGACGATGGGTTCGAGGAACAGGGAGATTTGTGAGAGCGAGAACCTGAAAGAGGAGGGTATGTTGGGGAGGAGGGAACTTTGCCTGGAAGGCACTCAGAGTAGGGAATAGAGAAGGGAACCGTAGGAGCAGTCCTACTTGGCCGAGTAGGTGTTGCAGGTGCAGGTGATGGTAAAGGTGTATCAGAGTGGGACACCTGAGGTGGAGGAGGCGGCGTGGTGCATCGAGCGTTGTACACGACACAAAAGGGATCGGTAGGTATTGATGTTAGCGGCTCAAAGATGCTATTCTCATCCACAAATGGGTCTTCGATTCGCTGCGTTGTCATACTGGGCTGCGGCATGACGGATGATACCAGTGATGATACGTTTGATTCCACTACAGGAATTTTGTTTTTGCATTCGGGTTCCGAGTGGTCATCTTCGCCCTCCTCTTCGTGAATCGTTGAAGTAGACTTGTTCCTGGCAACTCCAGAATCACGTTTCCACTCTTCCACTGACACGGGAGAAGTCCTCAGAGTTGGTGATGCTGATGATGAAGACGAAGATGAGCCTCGGAGGGCCGGGTGCTCCTCAGCAGGTGGTGCGACAATACCAGGGGGTACAATCACAATAGGACGGTGGCGGGAGCTGTGAGATGATGCCGAAGAAGACGAAGGACGACGTGAGAGCCGAGTAGGGTCTCGTGAGACAATGAGAATGGGAGGTTCTGCTGGTATGGTCTTCTCGTATCGCAAAGCCACTATGCTGGGGTCAAGTCGTAAACTGGTTCGGCGTTCAGGCTGCTTCTGCCGCACACTACCAAATTTGGACGGCAACATGGCGCTATTTTGTGAATTGAACAAAGGAACCAACGACGAGAATGATGTAAGTTATAAAGACTTCGAACCAACTGCCAGTGTGGCTGGTTGATGTCGACAAGGTGGTGGTCTGTTCGTGGAAATAGAAGCTTGTAAGTGAGACTCCGGCAGGTAGGCGTAGGTTGGGTGAGAGGAGCAGTAGCAAATGCAAGGGAGCAATGCTAATGCCGGGGAACGAGCACAACCCAAGACCGGACCCAATAGCTCAGGTGAAGAGTCCAAGAGCAAGCTGAAGAAAGGGAGAGGGCCGCAAGCTGATGTTATAGACAGTCGCGGCAAAGTCGAGAATCCAGAGGGAACCCAAGGGAGAGTCTTATCAAGGGAGACTCGAGAAAAAGCGCCAAAGTGCGAACTGAACTGAACTGGAACTCGAATCTATCGAAACTGGGTCGAACAGAATTGAATTGGGTCGAGTCGAGTCGCCCAGGTCTTAGACTTGAATGAGACAATGCAATCTCCCAGATGTCAAGTTGAAGGTTGCGGGTATGCAGAGAAATAGCCAAGGATCGTTCGGTAGCGACAACTCGAAAGGTTGGCACAACATTGATCGAGGGTGAAATATCCCGTGTTTTGAATTGCTCCCAATATTAGTCGTGACAGAGACAAGGTCGTAAAGTCGTGTGCAGGTGGAAACAACGGCTGATGTAGAGTGAGATGCAGTGCGGTTGATGGAAGGCACGGTTCACGGTCTCACAAGAATGATTGAGCAAGCTGGGGAAGCCAAGCGAGGCGAACCGATCTAAAGATGGAGATGGGTGCGTTCCTTATACATAATATCAATACTACTACTTACGACTAGTCTTGCTAGACCGACTCATCGACAATGCAACAACCACCGAGAAAAAATAAACGAAACCTGACTTTTCACTCTTCTCTTTTTTCTTTGGTCCATTTACTGACAGCCACATCATCCACTGACTCCACGGTCTTCCGTTGGCTACGGCAAGAACCCGCCCGCTACATACGGTAAGTAACTTGAGTTATGGGGTATCGAGTATGGAGCTAAGGCAAGGCAAACGAAGCGAGTCGAGACGGTGAAAACTCAATGGCTCGATGTGGTTGACGTGTGGGTTGGGCGAATCCACACCGCACTTACATCCGACTAACCACGTAGACTACAGGTCGAAATGTCGGAGGTCGAGCATCAGGTAATCATAGGTAAATGAACGTGACCGACCAGAATACAACACATCAACGCATTTTAGTCATGGGTACAGGAAAAGAAAGACGATCGGAAAAGCTCAGGTGAGGCATTGATGAATGGCCGGAGAATTGTATGCATCCCATGTAACCGTTTTTACGGCTATACCACCCTCCTCGCTCTTCAGGCACAAAGAAATGTTGGCAGCCTCCAAGATGAAGACCCAACAGAAAATATACATGCAATCCGGTTTTAAGCATGGTGACAACCTCTACAGCTGAATGTACGTCGTTATGAACCAGGCTATATAGTTTGGAGGGTGCTGCAAGCAAGACACCAAACGGCGACAGCGGCAAGTCCTTTAATTCTCATCACGATTTAAGCTGTATGCTCAACAATCAATCAGTGCTTCCAAAGCGTTTGTATTCCGGAAGCAAGGGATCACCGAGAGATGCCTCCAGTCAAAGACAAAGACAAGCACAGCACAGCACAGACAGATAAACGTCAAGTCTCACCTCTCTAAGCCCACTTCCTCAGCCATTCAGAAAGGGACTTTCTTCTGTCAACTAGCATCTTTTCCAGCCATGCCGTAACAGGTTTCGGGGCGAGTTTATTGGGCCTCTGTGAGCTATCATAATGATCCAATCGATACCCAAGGTCAGAGTCATCCAAATACCGACCAGGATCAGCGATAGGGCCGCCCAAAAGAGAGGTAGGTCTGCAAGGTACCCGCGACCAGACACCAAACGATGGCCATTCATCGCTCAACACAGCACACAGCATCACATTGCATTGAGCGAGGATAGGACAGCACGGGACGGGATGACTTGGTCTCACAGCAGCCTCGCACCCTTCAATTTCGCGTTTCTTTTCCGCTCCAACCCACTAACTTAACGACAGTCAATTATTCTGGAACACATCTAATAGCGCCTCAGCCATCAGTCACCTTAGCCGAAGCCAAGACGCCTCAACAACAGCAGCCTCCAAACAAAGATAAAACTTTGATAACATGTTCTGGTGTGATTGAGTGGGAGCCGTATTCATATGCAAGTAAACCACGCAATCGCCGTTTTTAGATCAACTAAACAACCAACTGTGCAGTCATCTCGGAGCCTTAGTATAACGTTGCCGCCACTAATTTTAATTACACGAGAACGCGTATCAAACTCTGTTTTTCCTCTATGCGTATCATCATCAGTTCGTCACCATGAGTTATATGTAATTATACATAGTACTGATGAGCAATAAGCACTTGTTCATCTTCAGTTCTGACGCCTACTTGACTTTGATTTTACAATTAAACCAAAATCTCTTCTTGAAATTATTATGAGTTTACGATTATTGAGTTAGTGGTTCCTTAGCTCTGGGTCAAACTCAGATGATGATCTCCCGATAGGCTGTGCTTAATTGAGACTTTTTATGCGAGCTCTTACACTCCATCACATTCTCTACCAAGGTCCGCCACGAACTTAACTCTCCCTTTTGCATGAAGCACCACGAAATACGGAGTACAGTACTACCGAATTGCTTTTTTTTTTCTCTTTCTCTTTTTTTCGTTTCCCCAGCAAGAACGGAAAAGAAAAAACAAGACTGGAAATTGTCTCAGTCTTCACATGATTATCGTGAATCTTAACAGAGCGATCTATCTGCCCTTGGAAGATCTACCCGCTCCCGAACCTAGGGATATTTTTATGCTGGGATCCATGCAGGGATCGGACTTTGTCCTGCTTTGGTGTTAAGCCGGCTGAGATTCTCCTCGTTTGGCTTATAGGGAACTTGCATAATAATGAAAACAAAAAAGAGGGAATATCGTAGATGACACCGGGATGGCTGCACGTACCCTTCCGTCCCGGCCGGGCCACGGCCGCCGGATGCCGTAGAGAGTCCACGTTCTCTCCATAGAATGGCTTCTTTGAAGGCTGCCACTGTAGCTGTCACCGCCCTAGACCCCCATGTCCTAGTGTGTCGATGCCAACTCATCGGGCAACCCCTTGTTGCTGCATTTTCCTCCACGTTGATCCGTCTACCGCGTGGTTAGTGGGGACATCTTTTTTCTCTTCTCTTAGTGATGAGGCGGGAGACAACAGCGAATAGCGGTAAAGGACATTTTTATCGTCTTTTCTTCTGTGTCGCTTCTGTAACTTTTTCGAGGCTGGCAAGGCGACGGAAACGCCAGATGAACAAAGAACGACAAACACTTATCGGCCGGGATAGGTAGGGCAAACAAACAACGCACAACTGGAAAAGAGAAAATGAGTTCCCTCTAGCCTAAATCCAAACTGCCAACGGTTGAGTGCATGCAGCAAAAGACAACGCCGCGTTGTTCTGAAGTGGATGCGTAATCCTTGCTAGGCTGGACTACAGCGCGTTTGGCCCACAAAGCTTGAAGCTCGTTCTGCAACCACAAGTCTGGTGAGTCAAACAGTCACCGTTCGATCAGGTGGCTGGTAAACTGGAGAGCTGAGAGGGCTAGCACATGCCTTTCACGGACGGATCATGGCAGCAAAAAGCAATCAACAATGGGCAAAATATCAGGTTTTCAGATTCTCCTTGCACGACTCCATTCGCCATATGCTGAGCTATACAACCTCGCTCATGCTAGAATTACAAATGAATACATCTTCCATCTTGCCCCTTCTGCTCTGGCACCTGTGTAGGATTGGCCGTTTGCCAAATGCTCCACCGTCTGGTGATAGTCTTCCAACGCGTTGAGAACGTGGCAGTGGATGCGCGTCCGCCACCGTGGGTTTTCTCCCGTCACTCAGGGCTCTTTGCCCCTTACAGCCTGCATAAGAGGCTTGCCGTTGTTCCTGCCATCACTGGCTTAACTCGCCAAATCTGGCCCATGAGATGCTCCATGACGTCCACATCCCACCTCTGAGTCCTTCCTATCAACGGCAAGAAACTTCTCTGCTTACGCAAAAGAGTCTCAGAAGGCCTCCCCGTTCATTGGATCTTCCAGGTCGAGTCTCGCCTTCGGCCGGCTCGGTTGTGCATTCTTGACGGCCTTAGTGTTACTTCTCAAACTTCTTCATTCTCCCAATCTGCTTCGCCGAACATAGGGCCCTTCCTAGTTCCGCCGCTCACCTCTAACTTCTCAAGAAACTCCGGTGGCACTGTGGGGATATACTTGCGCTCTCGCTCACGGTTAACTCCACCAAGTCCAGCACCGTATGTTACAAGCATGTCAGTTACCGACGGCAGCACGAAAGGCAACATCAAGGCGGGATCCAGCAGCAGATGCTCTGGCATGTCATCGTCTTCATCCCAGTCGTCCTCGGGAGGACTGGCAGTACTTCCAGGAGTGGCGAGATTGTTCCCGTTTGACCGGCCCTTTACCGGTGTGACTGGCGTGCTGTCCTGGCCTGACTTTTGTGGTGAAGGTACACCACTCCGCCGTCTCTCCCGCTTAAGTGCCGCCTCTTTCTGTAAATTGATCAAGTATTTCATGGCACTTTTTGGCAGTCCCTTTTCGCCCACTTCTGGCCTGTAGTGGTTGGCTGAGTGGATGAGTTGTTGAGGACTCAGTCTCTTGAGCTGCTGTAGTGTGATAACCAGAGCCTCCATATCATCTCCGTTAAGTGACGAGAAACACTGGAGCCATTGGAGCAGCTGGATTACAGGTGCCAGATGTCTTCGAGCAGCGTCCATTGTTGACTCCCCCGAAGAGCGCATTTCACCTCCTTCAAAGTGCTCTGCCTGTCTGTTATTTGTCCGAGCCCAATCTTCTAAGATGGAAATATTCATGCGGATCTGCATGGCCTTTGTTCTGGCCAGGTACTTTCGATTTGACATGATGCGGTTGAAGAGCTCTGCTCCAATCCAGTAAATCAATTGGGAAATGATTTGCGCAGTAATCACAGAGTGGATATCATAGAGGTCGAGTACAAAGAGAGTAGAGGAGAGAAGTGAGGTGACGTTTCGGGGCGCTGGTTTCGCTCGCTGCTTCGGTGATGGTGGTCTGAATCGCTTTTCTAGTGGCTCCTCTTTGACTTCTTTCTTTCGTTTGAAGAGCTTCCACTCATTTTGGAAAGTGATATCCTCGAATCCGGGAATAGTCTCGTGTTCCAGCATGGCTACGTCCAAGACCTTGTCCAGACGTCGCTCGGCATCTCGCACGATAAGAATAAAAATCTCATTTATCAACTCAGCCAGCTGTGCCTGGAACTCACCCGTTGCCTCGAAAAGTCCAGGGTCTTTCTTGAGGTAGTGAAGCAGTAGGGTGGCGTTCGAGATCCAAAAGGCTAGAATAGTCATGTCCCACTGACACCTCTCAACGACGTCGTTGATGTAATCCATAGCTGACACCAAGAGTCGCTCCAGAAGTTCGGGGCTTGAGTGGTAATGCGCATATCGTGCGCTGAGGAATATCATGTTGGCCGGGACAGGTTTCTGTGTCGGTGATCTTTGCGGCGTCATATTTGTAATGACGATATCAAGGATGCGTTCCAGCTCGTGTTCCTGAAAGACAAACATTTGATCATGTAAGCAGCGATTCCAGTCAAATTCTTGCTGCTCTTCCTCAAATTCATCGACAGGCTGTACTATCAGTCAGTCCAACAGCTCTTCACGACTTCAATTTGAACCATACCTCGGGTTGGTCGTCCATACCCACGTTTCCCAGGTCGACCTCGAGATCACGAGCACTCTCCATCATCAGCCTTCTTCGCATCTCATTCTCAGCCATCTCTTCCTCGAACCTATCCTGGGAGAACCCAGGTCGGTAAAAGTCATCTGTTCCGGCGTTTCCAATGTTATAGCCATTGTCGTGAAGATAGAATGACATCTCGCTATCCGGGGGAACAAAGTCAAATGCCGTTCGTCCTGAGGATGTCTTTTGATCGGAGGAGGCATTATTATCGAGGAGTAGTTTAGCGATACCCTTGTGTCGATTTGTCATGGCCCACATTAGAGCTGTCCATTGATTGCGGTCTTGTTTGTTGACGTCGGCACCCGCATCGATCAATGCTTGGACAACGGGTTCATGACCCTAACTGAAGGTTAGCAATGTATGTACAACATATGACGGCTCACCCACAAAGCAGCTGGCATAGATAAGGGGCGGTGTTCCGTCCTCATCTTCAGCGTCCAAATCAAGATAGTCTTTTGCCTTCCCATTGAGGAGCTTTCGAATTCTGTCGACATCGCCGTTACTCGCAGCCATGTTGAGGGCCTTCTGTAGTTTCTCCTTCTTCTCCGCCTCGGACAGATTTTCGCTATTCACGACCTCATCTTCGTTCTCGAAAGCAGGAGCTGCTTGGTGCGCTGCCTGGGCGGCCAGCATTTCCATTAATCGCGTGTCGCTGTCTTTGGGTCCTTTGGTAATGTCATCCTCGTATTCGGGGTCGTTTAGCGACAGGTTGCCGAAGTTGAGAGGCTTTGCTATAGCTGGTGTGGTGAGGAACTGGGACTGGCCTGTTACAAATCTGTCAGTGACGTGTTGGGGTTATACATGCGCAAATGCAAATGCGCAGTGGCGATGCGACGAACCTTGCCAACCATCGTACATCTCTGTCTCGGTGATGAGGTGCTCATTCGGCACATGTCTTCTGTCGTCGAGAGATCTGGGTAGATCTGCAGGGAGGGTTCGAGGCTTTTCCTCAGGCTGTCCTTCGGGGCTGATAGAGTCCCCTAGATCCATGATGGAGGGAGGGGCAGAGACAGATTCAGATTCGGCGCGTGGTTCATGGAATTTTGCAGGAGATGGTTTGACGGTAAAGGGAGGTAATCTTGGTAGTTCTCTATTGTTTGGTGAATAACCCGATGTTATTGGATCGAGATATCGTTGGAGCTGAAGTTGGTTGCTTGTGTTGATGTCGTCTGAGTTGTCGTGGAGGGCAACCTACCCACTTTGTCCCTGATGAGGTCGTGGAGAAACCGTCATTCCGCTTAGGTTTTGGAGCAGCTCCGCTAAGAGATACCACCTAACGTTAATTATCACCTATAAGAGCACATACAACACACGTCGTCACAGAGGTACAGCCACAGCATTATTGGGTATAGTTTTGTACCTAATCCGGCATTTTAAAGTCTCTCAGCTCTAAATAAAGCCGATACGATACCGAGACATGACATTTAATGATTGTGATGCATGAAATAAGACGCGAATTGTTTGAGATTGATGATGTATCCACCTAAAAATAAGATGACTTTTTAATACATTACAATCTTAGGTCATGCTAATTAATTTCATTTATATCCATCACGAACATATCCAAAGTTCATCAACTACCCTAAACTGCTCGCTTGCCAAAAGCCCGCAGTCGCTTTACTCCACCATCAGGAATCATGATAAGCTTTACGTGAGTTACCAGGCCCTTCTTTTCTTTCTCTTCGCTCTCGAACTCATGCTCCTGATCGGGTCCCGTCTTGCTCGGGGGTACAAAGACTCTCCAGGCTGTGGCATCTGCGACAGGATCGCCGTGGCCTGTCCACTCGCAACCTTCAATTGAGACTTTCTGAGGATAGTTGCCTCTAAAGTGCGCAGTGTCAACAACCCACTTCTCGATGTATCCAGGGGCACCGAGCTTGATGATGGCGAAATCAGTATGGTCCTTTCCTCGTGACCGCTTTGTCTCCCAACCATCGCCCATATCCTTTCCGCGGCCGGGGATGATAAGGTTGTCCTTGGTTCCAAAGTGTTCGTCGCTACACGACACAGCAATGCCTCCATTTTGAGCTGCAGCAAGATCAAAGACGGCATCCTTGTCTTCAGGGAAGACGGGGACGGCGTGTCCATAGAGACGAAATCGTGCGATACCACCGTCGGGGTACATGTTGAGTCTCACGTGTGTGTAGGCCTTTTGGCTAGGAGTCTTGAGCTTCCAGGCAAAGCGCTGAGAAGGACCACACTCCTGGATACCGAGGATGGTCTCCCATTCTCCACGACCTCCTCCCCATGAAACAACCTTGTCATCATCTTGGTTGAAGACACCCTCGACGGAGATAGCAGGAGCGTGGTTTCCATTGAAGAAGGCTGTATCGATCTCGACTCCTTCAATTGTGCCAGAGGCGACGCCCAACTTGATTATGGCGTAGTCGAATGGCTCCTGGTTGTGTCGTCGAGTCTCCCAACCGTCATACCAAGCACCTGTGAAGACCATCTTACCTGGCTGAGCAATTGGAGCTTTGGGGTTCAACAGGTTGGACGCCTCGCAGAACCATTGGTCAGAGTAGCCAAGGACTTTACCACCGAGGCCACTAGAGATGAGATCTGCAATTATTCAGTATTATTACTACGGGTCAGTTTAAGTGAGTATTTTCAACCTCATACCAATGCATGTTGAACGGAAAGTCTTGTTAATGTCGTCTGGACGAACCGTTGAGACCTCGACATTGTCGAGCTTGTACTCGATTTCGTCAGCAATGGAAGTCATGATGTATGTTTTAATACAATACAGAATTAAAGAATACGGATCTAGAATTCTCTGGAATCCGGGAGTCGGGCGATTTTGTAGAACGATCTTATCGCCTTATTTCCTTCGGCTGAGGCCATGATCTGTTCTGTTAGTCGGAGAAGGGGAGCTCGGCCACTTCCGAACTGCCCACTGACATGGCGTTAATATTGGATCATGGCAAATGCTGCCGGGTTTTTGGCCTGTTTCCTTTTTTCTATTGGATGCTTCGGTACTGCAAACAATATGATACTTCTCTTACGTACGGTCCTTCACCAATTCTAGACCTTAAATGTGATGCAACTGCAGATAAGTCTGGGGTTTCGGCTGGCCGCCGGCCGTCTAGCCAATTGCCGTCCCGTCGCCGGCTTCGGGGGAGTGGAGGATTGTCATGCTTAGCCGTCCAGCCGTTTTTCGGGGCCCTTTAAAAGCAACGATGGACCAACCAGAGCATCGTTGGTGGCGGTCAATTTGACGATAGTCAAAGAGCTTATCGGGTAGCTTAAGCTGTTTGCTCGATCATATCGAGTAATAGATAATTACACCGATTTTATATACAGATCATCCGCCAACCCTTAAATTCTGTTTCATTTCCTTCTTACTTACCCTAGACATTGACGCTATTACCACGCTACATGATGTATCCCTCGCTCTACCCCGCGCTATTGCAAAAAGATGTCTTCTGATTGGCTAAAGCTCAATGGTCTCATTGACGTCAACGGTGATTGCAAATAGAAGCGAAGCGAAAACACGAATTTGTCACTGTAAACCTTCTCACTCACATACATGATCATCTGCATTTGTGAATTCCCTCCAAGTACTTGCGCTGTTGCTAAGCTCGAGGCGTGAACAAGTAGTCATAGAGTTCGACTCGGCAACTCTTTATCTGTTCTTTTGTTTGCAGATCATATACACAAAGCCTGAGTCTCACGCTTAGAAGACACCTCTTCCCATCAGCGCGTTCATAATGGCGAGTGCTACAGGTGTTCCGGAGCGATTCCCTCCAATCGAGGATCTGTCAGCCAGAGAAACTGAGCCTCTCCTTGGTCGACCTGGCGATGCTGCGCAAGAAGATGGCGTTCCCATGATCAAAAACCTCGTTCTCGGTAAGCCTCAAATTTATATACAACTGACTTATAGCTGACTGTCCGGTGTTCAGGTACTGGAATAGTAGCTCAGCTGGGCGTGGTCCTGCTCACTATTCTGATCTGGGCAAGCGTCCTCTCCAAGCCTTTGATCCTCTTCTCAGCTCACCCACTGCTTCAATCTCTTGCGGTTCTCACCCTGGCTCAGTCTGTTCTAAGTCTGCAGCCGACTCATACGGCCGAGCAGAAGCGCATCGGTCAGCGCGTACATGCCATTCTCAACCTCGTGGCCTTCTTGATCCTTGTTGCTGGCGTAACCATTATCGAGTATAATAAGATTGCAAACAATGGGCCTCACTTTCACTCTGTCCACGGCTATCTCGGTGTCATCTCCTCCATCGTTCTTCTTCTCCAGTACGGAGTTGGTTTCACCATGTGGGCTACCCCAGCACTGTATGGCGGCGTGAACAATGCCAAGGCCGTCTGGAAGTACCATCGCTGGAGCGGATATACCGTCTTTGTTCTGCTCTTGGCTACCGTCGTTAGTGCTGTTGAGACAGACTACAACCATAATGTGCTGAAGATCAAGTTGTGGGCCGTGTTCCTGTTGGCTATTGTCACTTTGGTGGGTGTTGTCCCTCGAATTCAGAAGCAAAAGCTCGGCTTCCCTGGTCCTAACTCGACTTAATCTTCCTTGCTCTTCATACCTTGACCACTGCCGGAAACACAGTTGCATGGAATTTGTAGGTCACACTCTCATGTGCGATGAGTTCGCATACGGCCTTAGAACACGGCGTCTGGTGTTATCCACGTTCTTGGTGTTTGGAACTGTCCTGAAAGCTTTTGTACTGCGCCCCTGGCATATTTATGTTAGGAATTTTTTGGAAGAAGCCACGCGGCTGGCTGTTATCAGGGAGCGAGATTTCATCACTTTTACTACTGATTTTCCTTGTCCACCTTTTTTTTGTTTAGCATCTATCACGAAGAGCTCTACCAGGAGACTTACTTGTCTCATCCACGTTTAGCTATAACAGTCTGATCAATTTGCCAGTTTCACTATGCCCAATGGAAATATATCTTGTGACGAAGTTAGCGACTGCGTGTTCTTGACTTCTGAGTTGTACCGACCTTGATCAACAGTGTTGCATATTGACCATACAAAGAGACTCGTAGCCACAGATTCGCTTTTTCTTCCGTGGAAACGTATAAAATGTACATATGCCTCGCTCCGTCATATTCAACTTTTATTTGAGTCATATCATCTGTTATGTTATATTACCGGGACCGGAAGCTGAACACATGGATCAGACATAATATATCACAAAACACTTTGACAAAACATTCTTCAGACTGCTTAAGGCTTTCATCCCGGCATGCTATGAGTTTCATGATCTTCCCCAGTTCGACGATGAGTCTACTCCATCCCGCTTCAAGAATAGGGGGTTCTCTTTCGTCGGGGTGGGGAGAGATTTCAGGTCTCTAATTAGATGTAGAAAAGAGTGAAATTTCAGGATTTATCATACAAAACATATCTAAAACCAGGTTAAGTGTATTGTTACATAAGATTGAAGTCTGGCTTTTTCTTTCACCCCCTTTCTTTCACCCCCTCAGGTCCTGCTGTGATATCTCCTCCCTCAATCGGGGAGGAGTTACTGCATTTGCTTAATCGACAAAGGCCCAGTGCTCTACCGTCTTGTGGAAGTCGTTGGCAAGAAGTATACAAGGATGTTTCTGTTGACAAAGGTGGTTCCAGCGCGGCTGCATCAGACAGAGAACAAACTTGTATGCACTATGTAATTCTATTTTCCCTCTCGGTGATGAATTTCGTGGGCAATGATTGCTATCATTATGTGATGCAGAGGTTGTGCAATAACAGACAAGGCGATATAAAGCTTGGGTGTACCAAGTTACTAGGTAGCTAGACACTAGAAGTTCTGTCAAAGCAGGGGATTCCAAGATTAAGATACCTAACTAAACTACTCATTAGGTAAGAAACAAGTAGTGTTAAAAATGCATATCTTTTTCGGGGGGCTCTTAGCCCGTAGTCATAGGTCTAAAATATAAGGGATGTATGAGGTTAGTCGGAATTCCTTGACAGAACATATAGAGCAGGATCAGATACGACATGAGCATTCCTGCGAGTGCCCGATGTTTGGGGTATACCGGTAGAAAACATACTACAGTGCAATCTACTGGTGAACCGAAGTCTATATCCTAAATTTGGCACATATATCGGCTACCTTTATATACCAGGTATGGTGCTGTAAATAGCATGCAACATGATACGATAGACAGCCAATTTCACTGTCCAAGTGCCGAGCCTACTGAGCTAGATCGTTAGATGCTCTTAAGAACGCAACTATGACGGTGAATAATCGATAAGCTTTCTTGGTCCTGGGCACAATCACCTACATGCAATTGCAGTTGCATATCTCTTTGATTGTCTCTGGTGGCATTTCTCCATTGCTATTTGCGATAAGATACCAACTCCGCCGAAGCCGAATCGTGAAGTGCACGGCCTGACAATGCCAAGTGTACCAGCTATTCACTTACTTGCCTAGGTATTGATAACGGGGTCAACCCCATGGAGAATCATGCCAACAGGCCTATTATAAAGCTTAAGATGAAAGCGAGGCAAGGCAAAGGCTGAGATCTCACGACCCATGGCTACATACTTCGAATGAAGAAACCATGTCTTATCCATGCACGTGTGACAGGTTTTTTATGTTCGGAATCCAAAATCTTCAAGTCATTCGATAACCCACATCCCACGAGACCCCAAGCTCGAAGTAACATGAGCAAGGATCCATTAGGCAGAAAAACGGTCATGGCGTCTGTATCCGCACAGCTGGTGAATCCAGGGTAACCAAGATTGGCAGAGATAGACCTCGTCCTAAGTTGAGCTTCTCGAATAATCCCCGATTCAGGTTGGACCAGGATGTCAACAACTGGCTGGCTGATGGAGATAAAGTCCCACATCCTGCCTAAAACTCCCCGCTTGGGTATGAGAGGCTATAATGGCACAGGAGATAAACAAACAATACATATTAATGCAATACCATTTTTTGGTGTGGGAGGTCTATTTGAACAAAATTTTACTCACCGACTCATGCCTGCAGATCGCTTCACGACCCGTGATTCCAAACTTGGACAGCCCAAGGGAGCCTGTGCTCTTTGGAGATCAAATATCGCTTTGACCAACCAGGCTCGGTTGATTGAATGCGTGGTATGTAGCACATGATTTCTGTTCCACAGCTCATATATTGTGATTGTGGTTATCTAGCCCTTACTTTGGGGTTTCTGCAAGTAATACGCTGCAGCTTCTTCTCAAAAGGAAAGATGAACGGGTTTGCCATAAAATAACAAGAGAAACTTGATAATTATCTTTGTCTGGTTCAGTGGTTGTCTGTGTTGTTGATATTGGTCTTGTTGATTGTTGTTGTCTGAGGCGATAACAAAGTTACAGTAATAAAGCAGCGGGTAAGTAGACCCAGGTGCCTGGATCTGAAGCAGACGAAAACCTACACAGGGCTCCTGGGAGCTTCTATCAGATCCGTACCTCGGAGGCTAGACACGTTGTCGCCAGAGACAGGCATGGGCATGGTTCACCCCACAGCTTGAGATTGGTTGGGTTTCTTGTGGCGCGCTCTGTTTGACGTCACGGCAAGTCTTGAACACACAGACGTCATGCGAAAGCGCCTTCATCTCAAACCAGACGCTGCTTCAGGCGCCGGTGGAAGCACGAGACACTGAGAAGGCGCATAATCCAATAAACAAGGGAACAACTGTAGGCCTGGTTACAAGTGTGACCAACACAACAGAAGCTGAGCTTGCTGTAGAACGACGGTTCGGCCTTTTGTGTAAGGAATTGGAAGACTACCACTATGTCACATCTCAGATTTCAGTTGAGCCCACTGCTTTGTGAGGTCCTGAGCGAGGCACACAAAGTGCATAACCGAAGGAAGGAAACCTGTCTAAATGCCAGTCGGCCTGACCTCGATAAGGGATGGTACTTTTCGTTCGAGTTGAGTGCTGCGTAGTTCTTCCCTTTCAACACAATGGAGGAGCTGATACTTTGTGGCCAGGTTCTTTGCGAGTACCCACAAGGAAAATCTAGCATTGACAGGTTTGTCCCCATAAGCTACATTTCTCTGGAAAGGAGGCAGGCACTTGGACAGAACAGACATAAGAACTGAGGGCAATTTTCAGTAGTCCGGTATGTTAATAAAAACATCCCGGCACATAATGGAGCTCATCAAGTCCTCCGTGACTACGCTCTCTTGCTTGTCCGGCTACATTCCGTCAGCCCACAGACCCGCGTGGCAGGCCGAGTCCTAATATGGGAACATTGAAATTGGAATTGAGGGCTGACCCCAGAAAGGCCTCCCCACTGGTGAAGGATGTCTGTGACCAAAAAGCACCTGAGGGCCTACTAATCTGCAGTGTGATTGAGTTGTCGGTAAAAACGAGGCTAGAATGAATTCATTCTGCCCATGGGACGAGCTAAATTCACTGGGGAGTTTCCTGGAGGGGGGGAGAGTCAATTATTGAATTCGGTGAAGCGGGTTGTTTCCACGAATGATAACACAACGGGTAGCAGACAGGCAACAAAAAGCCATGAAAGCCATGATGATGTCAACTGGACGTCGAGTGTGATTGTGTCAATTTGCTTGGCAGCATTAGGCGAATAGGGGAGATACATTATGGGCTGTAGGAAATCATTGGTTTGGCTGTTTTAGAAACTGGCTCGCCTAAAGAGACTCCATGCTGCTTCGTTCTGAGAAAGAGGCAGCTTGTGTCGTACGTCAGAAGGGATCAGGATTAGAGGCAGACGGCTGTTGAAATAGTCTGCTCATCGAGACGCCTCGTCTTCTTGTTAACGGAGTAAATAGCATAGAGCCTCATCCTGAACATGATCGAAAGTCCTTGTCCCTGTTTCTGTGGCTTCTGTCAAAAATGCCTAAACAGAGACAATTTAACTGAAGATCGCCGATCTAGAGCGAGAACGAGAGGGTCCATGGGGAAAGGCCACCATGACCGATGACAGGTCACAGTGGTGGCTCGAGCGCTACTCGATCTGTGACGAAGAAAGCATGAAGAATAACATTGAGAGACTTTACAAGGACAGATGACTGCCAGATTGGTCACAGGATGAACAGCTCGCTTTGATCGCAAACGAAATAAAACCACTTTGAATACCCGTTAGCAAGCGGGTGCTGCTGAGAAGGTTTCTTATTATAGTCTTATGAGCAGGTGGCCATTTGACGAACCCAGAACCTGGGTTCGCGACAGCCACTACAGCGCGCTTGATCAACGCTGGCGTATTGTTTGCCCTGGGAAAGGTTGTGTACCTACAGCGTTCCTGGCAGCCATTGGATACAGGCCATAGGGCAGACGATGGATGTGGTTGTCGCTGGAAGCAAAGCTCTCGTCGCGAGGGCTGTAAGTGGCCATCGGCTGGGGCTGATGCTTGGCTGGTTACCAGGGTTAACAGCGGACGATGACGATGATGATGCACCAGCCGCCAGCACCCACTTTTGCAGCCATTGGTCTCCTTGGCCTTTCATTGTAATCTGCGCTCAGGAGCATCATGAGCACCGACCAGCCAATCCCCTGAATGCATGGGATAAATATATTTGCTGTGAGTTGCTGATACTGTTGATTATTATTAGTAGCATCATCGCTGCTCGAGTCTGTGCATGCAATGTAAATGCAATGTGATTAGGACGGAAAGTGACAAAGCAAGATGGTATTGTGTAAAGCGATTCATGGCCGTGAACATTGTGTGCGAATAGAAAAGAGAAGAGTTTCTTTTAGCCCTCTTTTACTCTGGGACTGCGATTTCCAATTCGGTACGTACCTGCAGGCTACGTAGGTGACCAGGTAAGGTGCTACCGATTTGCTTCTTTCCCTGAGGGTCTCTTTCTCGACGTCATCGCGTGCAGGGTTGGCACTACTTACCCCCGTTTTGCGCGCCAGCATCGTGTGCTAGCCAAGTACCAGACAAGTAGTATGTCCGACCATTATGTGCTAACTGGTACCGCAGAGCCGCTGTATACTACTTTGATGTACCTGAGTCAAATGCAAGCCAGAAGCCAACTTTGCCCACCTTGAAATCGGTTCTTCAAAGTGCCCGTTTGAGGAGTCTCCAGTCTCTCTCACTAGCCAGGCCAGGCCGATTCAGTCCACCTCTTTCTACCACCGCTACCACCGCTACCTTTTGACTCTCCGCACCAAGACAGTCTGAGAGACACACTGCAATTCACTGCGAAGGACCGGTGTGTGGTAGAACCTCCAATTTTCCACTCTCAAACCTCCTGCGTTGCGTTCCGGCTGCTCGTTGCCCCGTCGTTGGAACGTCCTCTTACGGCCCTCACACTCGGATCCTGGGCCATCCTATCCTGACCTCCGTACCGATCAATAAACACACCTCGGTCGTTGATCAACCGGTGCTAGGGTTTTTAGAGACTCTCGCTACTGCCACTGTGCTGCCACTGTTGGCTTGGGGTTAGAGGGAACAAAGCGTCGACCTCTATCCCCTCCACCACCACTACCTTAGTTTGACATATCCTTTAAATCGCGAATTGTCCTCAACACCACTCTTCCTGCCGGCGAGAAGGATTCAGCAATTGGTCTTTGGACGACTTATTCTCCTGTGAGGAATGCAAAGAGCCACCTCGCCGGTTGGCGACGACATATTATCGATTCCGTCACCATCGCGTCAACAAGACTCGTCGACTCTCGCTTCTCCGACATCCAAATTGCCGCCATTTTCGCTGGTTGAGAAGCTGCCCGTGAGCGCTATTAGAAATGGATGTGTAATGCCGGAATCGATATCGAACTCGACTATAAATGCGACTGCGACAGCAACCGCGCGTAACGCAATGACGACGGATCGCCACCCGAGCCACCCTCCATCCTCGCCCCTTGAGGCTCAATCTAAGGAGCCCCGCGTCCACAACAACATGATAGGAGATTCTACCGATGAGAGCACTGTTTCTGTGATCGAGGGCCCGAGTATTACTGCCGAACCATTGGCTGCCCCTGCTGGAACAGATGCATTGAGTCCTCGGCTTGCAGGTTTCGGTGGTTCTCCCTCTCCTACCCAAGCGTCATCACAGAAGCAGCTTAACGAATATCGAGAAAAACTCGCACGCGACCTTGAGCGCCGCGAAATGTCTGCTCGAGGTCTGATGGCAAGCCCTAATGAAAAGAAACGAGTTTCTCCTATCCCCGAAGAGGGCCTGTCCAGTTCACCGCTTCAGACTTCAGCTCTAACAACAACTTCAACTGAGTCGAATGCCACCGTCCGAGGCGCTCCCACCCCAGGGCCTATCGCAGGAACACCATCATATCCGTTTCCACGAATGGCCCCTGCTGGTTTCGTGCCTTCATATCTGCATAGACCTTTCACCACACTCTCGCCTACGGGTGCTCCACGATCTTTCAGCTATGGTTCTTTTGACGCCTTGGGCATGGCTGCCCAGGATAAGGTCCTCTCAAGTACTTCGACTCCAGCATCCAATTTCACATTTAACCCATCCGCAATGTCGCCACAGCCTGAGAATCTCGATTTTCCTAACCCTAACCTCTACGATCTTTCTTTAATGCTAGCTGCCGAGCCTGGATTAGATGCTTGGTGGTCGAATGTTGTTCAAATTATGAGAGATGTGTACAAAGCCGAGCGAGTAACACTTGCTATTCCAGCTGACACAACAGACATCGAAAATGTTCCTTGGGGCCAAAAAGCAACTTTCAATCTTCACAAGGAGGACGATCTTAGTTTGGGTTATATGGCTGCCAAACAGTCCAGCAGTATTGTCTTGAGTACAAGCGACTACGATCGATCCTGGCCTGGGTCTAATGCTACGCCATCGATTTCTGACGATAATCTGCATGCCAAATCTGCCTCCCGGCCAGACTTATTTAGTCGCCATTCATTTACGACTTATGAGGATAAGAGGGAGAGAACGCGAACTCCGCCTAACGCGCAGGCTCGCCGGCCCGCGTTTCTTGCCAGGAGCCAAAGTAATTATCCCGCAGGCCCTGCCTCGAAGGAGTCCTATGTCGATTATGCCAAATTGAATAAGACGACACTTGACGAGCATGATGCCATTGAGCAACAGATCCCAAGTTGGGAAGCGCCGCTCATGGGTGAAAAGGAAAGCCAGGGGCGTGTCCTACCGGTATTACAGGCTCTTGATTATGAAGCGGATCCTTTGATTGACCACAGCGGTATCATGCGAGTACTCGAACGCGGAAGAGCCATCGCACTTACTAGATCCTATCCATATCTTGCTGATGAAGCCCCGGCTGAGCCGTCGAAGAAACCAAAATCTGCCGCCCCTGAACCTTCCTCGAACACTCCTAGGAATTTTGCCAAACCGCGCTCGGACTCATTCTCGAAATTATCATCGATGTTCAACTCAGCTAGTTCCTCTCGTGTGCCGACTCGAAGCAAAACTCATTCAGCTGCCGACAGAGCAAAATCAATAGCCTCACGTTTAGAGGGTCGCTTGGATGACGATATGCCCAGGCCTCCAACACCTAAGTACGAAGAGTTTGAACAAGCGCCACCTTCACCTTGGTCACAATCACCAGCTCCATCACCGGCTGTGCGAGCTGATCCTAAAGAAAATCCTTTTTTCACAGATGCCATGGTCGACGAAGATTCATTCAATCCAGACACTGGCACAGATGATTACACTGGAATGCGTCCCCCCGAAGCTATCGGTGTTGATAACTCATGGACCGTTCTTCACATCCCTCTCTCTCACGTCCTTCTCTCGAAACCTACTCGAACGTTCAAACTTGACAGCACTTTGATGGAGCAAAGATCTCACGCGCGCACCAAAAGTGAGAGCATTCCTGCTCCTAGCGATGATGGTGGCCGTAACACACCAGACAGTCTCAAGAGAGAGAAGCCAGCACCGATCGCTATTTTATCTATATTGAGCCCAATCATCCCTTATCCATCTAATCTCAAGCACTCCCTCGAACACTTGGCACCTCATATGGCCACAACTTTCTCGTTATGCCGGCACTATAGTAATCTTGAGACCGAGTTGGCAGGACTTCAACGGAAACGACCACAGACGGCTGGATTTGGGGCGGTTGCACACGATGGGCGGCCCTTGGAGAGCATGGCTTATCTCACTGCGGATGACATTGTTCCCCACCAGTCCCTCGCTGGCAGTATGACAAGCCCGAGCGATTACTCTGGTGTTTCCAAAAGTGCTACTGGATCTCCATTGGGCACTCCTGGATGGGATCAGGGATCCGGAGGCTTTCATGCTGACAAGCGACCACCGCCGACCTCGAGTCCTGCTGCAACACCTCAGGGAGAGGGATACTTCAGTTCCAGGCAAAGGCCAGTACCCGCGCGACACGAAACATTTGGCGGCACAGGGACCCCACGGGCAAGAACGAGTTCAAAAGACACTTCTCCTGCTGAGAAGCGAAAAATCCGAGTCAGCGGTTCTTCTCTTGTACAAGAGAGTCCGGAGCAAAACTTGGCTGCCGATAATAAAGCGACCCGTACTTCTTCTGACGAATCGACCGGCGGATTGGCCAGAAAGTCGATACAGGTTGACGCTCCAGATGTCAGTATAGATACTCTGGATCCTACCAACAATGGCAATACAGCTGAGGATTTGGCTGACTCTACCAAGACCGGACGCGGCACTCGACAAGGGCACAGCATGCTTCATTCATACGGTGCAGATTTTGCTTCCACTTTCCAATCTCTTCCGCCTAGTTCTACACTCTCAGCTAGACCGACACCTGTTTCTGCACCCTCTCGGAGTGGCTCATTGACTACTACAGCTGTTGATATGCCACCGCCTTCAGATAGACTTAAGGGACTGATTTTAGATTCCCTACCCGCGCACGTATTCGTCGCACTTCCGCAAACAGGAGAAATTGTCTGGGTCAACAGCCGTTATCTTTCATACCGAGGCCAGACAGCCACCGACCTCGCCGCAGACCCATGGGGTAGCCTTCACCCTGATGACCGGGACGACTACTTAAAAGCCTGGGGCCACTCTATCCGTACGGGCGAGCAATTTTCGAGGACCGTTAGAATTAAACGATTCGACGGCACATATCGGTGGTTTTATGCTAGAGCAGTTGCGTCAAAAGACAAGAGAGGGGTCATCATGCAATTTCTTGGATCGTACATGGACATACACGACCAGCATATTGCTGAGCTAAAAGCGGCGCGACAAGAGGAGATTGAGGCATCCGAGGCTAAACACCGATTACTTGCCAACCTCATCCCTCAGATTATCTTCACAGCGACCGAAGATGAAGGAATCACTTTTGCCAATGAACAGTGGCTCTCGTATACAGGACAAAGCTTCTCCGACTCGCTCGGATTGGGTTTCATGGACTTTGTCCACCCTGACGATCTTGCTAAATGCCGTATTCCCTCTACTCAACCTTCAACACCCGGCGGAATACGACGTGAAGGTCATGGCAAGATATACCGACAGGGATCTGCACAGTCTGAGGCGGCGTCAACTACCACTATTCAACCTCCCAGATCGCGTACACCTCAAGACTCGCCTCTCCGTAATGTGCAGCAAGCCCTGTCTAGAAATAACAGCTCTAGCAGCAGTTCAGCGTACGAATGGCCTGCTGCGGACTTGACCGAATTGGCTCGAAAAGGAGTCATCAAGGTGGCGACTGATAGCGCTGGCCGAGTCTCATACACAACTGAGGTTCGATTACTGTCCAAGACTGGAGAATACCGCTGGCATCTTATCCGATGTGTTGAGATTGACACTATCGATTTTGGCAGTGGTGCTAGCTCCTACTTTGGATCTGCGACGGACATCAACGACCACAAGCTTCTCGAGACGAAGCTCAAAGAGGCCATGGAAACCAAGGGAAGATTCCTGAGCAACATGTCCCACGAGATTCGCACTCCTTTGATCGGAATTTCAGGCATGGTAAGCTTCTTGCAGGATACGACTTTGAATGAAGAGCAGCTCGACTACACCAACACCATACAAACAAGTGCCAACAGCTTGATCATGATTATCAATGACATTCTGGATTTATCCAAGGTCGACGCTGGCATGATGAAACTCAAGTACGAATGGTTCCATACCAGGTCCATCATCGAAGACGTGAACGAGCTTGTCTCGACAATGGCTATTGCGAAACGACTGGAGCTGAACTATCTCGTGGAGGCCGATGTACCTGCGTGGGTCAAGGGCGA